TGTTAAAAGCATTCAATGTAGAAATTATTTGTATAGGAGTTATTTTTCAATTGTAAAACACTTAGAAGTTTCATAACTTAGTAATTTCTTGCCGCAATAATCGATTATCATAGGGGATAATCGATTATCACAAGCAAAAGTGGGAAAGAATTCGTTTGGAAATAATCGATTATCATAGGAAATAATCGATTATGACCACAAGTTTTGATATTGTTCAAAGTTCGACAATAATCGATTATCACTAAGGATAATCGATTATCACGTTTTCCAAAACCCATAACGGCCTGAAATAATCGATTATCACTTGTGACAATCGATTATCACTAACAGTTGGTAGTTGTCTTTTCATTTTCTATCCCCTGGCCTATATATAGAACCCTCCTAAACCTTCTACAAGTCACCTAAACCATTTGAGAGCACAGATTTGTTCTGAGGAAGTTCTCTAGTTTAAGTGTGAGTTAAATCTAGTCTTGAGAAAAAAGAAGTTTGTGGTTAGTGTGTCTAAAGGTGCAAACGGTTCTCTGCAAATTGATTGAGTTGGTATTCATTCTATCGTGTGTCGAAGGAAGGTGTATTTTGTTCTTAATTGTTGTTTTATTCTCATTGTAATCTGAAATTGATTTCTAGTGAAACAGTTAATCACTATTTTATAGTGATTAACTATTGGACGTAGAATCTTTTTATTCGAACCAGGATAAAATCATTTATGTGATTTTCTCTATCCCTTCATCCTTTTATTCATAAATTGTTTGATAAAAGTTTTAAAAGAAAGCCAAAATTTTAAAAGAACCAATTCACCCATCCCCTCTTAGTTATTGTTTGTTTATCACGCTCTTGTTGTTTCCTTGAAGAACAATATTGATGTGTGGTTTTTCTCTTTGCACAAGTCTCCCCCAACAATCTCAAACATGTAATAGATTGGTAAGAACCTAAATGTTATTAGCTTTCTTTGTATATAAGTGTATCCTAAAATATTCAATTTTTCATAGTTCAATCGTTAGAGGTATTATGTTGTTAGGGAAATAACTCCTAAGGCAAAAAAACTTGCATGATTGTCCCTTCAGGTTTGGTATCTTGGTCCATATATTTATAATTGTTTGATTCATTTTCTTCCTCAATTATTTATAATCATGATGATATATTGTAGTGTAATAAACAAATCAGCTCATATGAGTATAATTACTTTGTAATGCAATGGATAACAACCATTGTTTGTGCTTGTATTACAATTAGTTCAAAAATGGTAATTATTGAATTTAATTAAATACTTTACAACTTTGTCTTTTTATATATTAATTGAAATTATTGTTTTTCGTGCGAAAATTCAAGAGTCTTGCATCAATTACTAAGAAGTCCATAAAGTATAGTAGGATAATTTGTGTAAAATATATTATACAAATCTACATTATTATTTAGCACATTTACTTGTAGTAAAAATAACATATTGTTGTGCAATAGTATTTTGACTCATTCTAAGTGTGATAAATATAATGTCCTATTTTATTGTTGTACAATAGTATTTTGACTCATTCTATGTGTGATAAATATAATGTCCTATTTTTGTGTTGTTTTGTGATATTTTATGTATGTTTAATATGTAGGAATAAACAAAAATTAAAAAAGGATATTATTTAGAAAAAAAACACCTACATTAGACTTCATTTATAACCAAAATGGAAACATAAAAATTTAATTTTAAAGATATTAGGCTTTAATTTTGTTATAATTGAAGTATAATATTCTGATTTAAAATATTATTTAATTTTAAAAATATTAAACTTTCGTTAAACATATTAATTTCATCTTTAGTAATAACAAAAGCCTAATATCTTTAAAGTTAATCAATTTATTTAAATTGAAAACATATTAAACTTTGGTTACCATAAGAATTGAAACAGAGTTTATATTTTTTTTATTATTTATTTATAGATTCATGTTGTAGTTTTGGAATAATCGAAACATAATAAAAATCTTTATATTTCTATTTATAATCGAAATCAATTTTTTTTAGATTGTTTATATATGTTTCGATTCTGTAAACCGAAAGCACAATATTCAAAATAATTAATATTAAAATAGTTTTTTAATATCTTCTCATATATATATATACATATATAAATAATATGTTGTTAAGATCTACCATATTTTTTATCTCAGCAAATTTCTACATAATATATTAAAAAATTCAATTTATAATAAAAAATTAATACAGGAATAACACGTCACTGGAGTAGTATGGAAATTGAACTTTAAAAAAGGTATTGGATTCGAACATTGTGGAAGGAAAAAAAGTGGTTGAGAGAAGAGAATCATTTAAGATAAATCAACAAATTTTTTGTTTTAACAAAGAGTCGTAGAACTTTGTACCAATATAATATACAAGTTTTAAAGAAAATGTGACGTGGAGATAAATTGGCATAAGGTGACCTTTAAGATTGATTTTGCATGAATATATTAATTAATGAAAAAATAATAATTTTTGGAGAAGGTAATGTTTTAGTCAACCTACAATTATTGTAAAGATTGTATGCAAGGGGATTGTCAACCTACTTTACATACCTAATAGCCAAAAGGAAAATGACACTTGAACAACCATTTTTGACAACATTTAGACACGCGCACACGTGTCAAAATATGAATGATACAATTAGAAAAATTAAATGAAAATGGACCACTCAGATTTTGACACGTGTGCGCGTGTCTAAATGTTGTCAAAAATGGTTGTTCAAGTATCATTTTCCTAACCAAAAATTTGACATTTAGAAGAATAGTAGGTATATTCATATTTAATAGACTATTCTTAAAAGCATCTTTGCAAGTATATGTCTAGTGATTATACACAAACACCATATTTTCTACTCTATACCTACTTAACATCAATAAAAGGGTATTTTATTTTAAAATATAAAATAAATTAAGATTAATCAAGTACAAAAATTTTAATATTAATATTTTATTAAGTGCTATAAAGTATAAAGGTTTATAATTTTCCATATACATACATACTATCTTATGAAATATTAATGGTAGCTTTGATTTATTAGCTCCATCATGTTTACTTAAAGTTGCATCAAAATTGAGAAGTGTCATTAACGTCTATGTTATAATGATACGATTTTATTTATAATAAGTTATTAATATATCAAGATCGATAAAAATAGTTTAGTGTATTAATGGATTATGAAACAAAATATATTCTCTTTTGGTCGGCCATAAAAAAAAATAAACTTAATTCCATTATTTCGCCTTCTTCAAAATTGGAGTTTTCAAATTCAAACGTCCTCCAATCAAGTGTGTGTATATATATATATATATATAGAGGCAATAGCATGCGCAAGATTAATTTATATATAATATGGTAGGTGTGAGCAACTATATATATTATTTAAAAGTCAAAGTGGAAATATAGGGTTTGAAATCTCTTAACATATGTGAAGAAGAGCGAAGATACGTGATGCTGTAGGATACAACATAGAAGTAGCATAAATCATTTTCAAATGGCACACAAATAAAAGTTTCCGGAAAATTAATCGTCGATTTTATTTTGAATGGTCTTTAAATTAAGAAGAACCACTTAAGTAACCTTAAAAAATATTAAATATTTGTACCAAATGGCTATTTAAATGGCATTTTTTTCAAATTAATTCTTAAACTTTACTTTGAAAACTAACGTTTACTTTGATTGAATAGCATCTAGAATTACTTAATAACGTTGCTACTTTAAGGAGAGAAAGAAATTGATAGTTTATTTAGAAGGGCTCCAAGCTCATCTACACCAAAATAATAGAGCAAAAGTACATCTTTTACGTACTCCAAAAGGAAATAATAAGGTTTTTTAATTGAACGGGTTAATTTATTTTCAAAATGACCAATTCGATTTTCTTTAAAAAAAATACAAATTAAGATCAATACATAACTTTTATGTAAATTAAAATTTTAAATTGAAGTCATCGTTTGAATTTGAAATCATCATTTGAATTTGAATTAAAGTTCGTCATCACATTTTAGTATAATTAATTTTAAATTTAAATCTTTTTTTTATGATTTCAATATAATTAATTTTTAACCGAAGTCCTCATTTTCTTTATTTCATTCAGAAACAACTTTACGGAAATTGTGAACAACTTCAATTTAAAATCAATTATAATAAAATTCAAAATCAATTATAATAAAATCGTTACATGAATATCGACTTTAGTTCAAACTTTAATTTATTTTAAACATCATTTCCTTTGATCACTTTATTTCTGTAATACAAAGTTATTTATAAAGTTTTAACAACAAAGTTATTTGTGTAATACAACGTTATCTATAGACATGATAAGTTGTTCAAAACAAAATCTTATTTAGACAGTTAGACTTATCCTTGATTGGTAACTATTTAAAAAAAAAAAAAAAACTAGATGAATAATTTTGTTGACAAATTAACCCAAGAACCTAATAATAAAGTAGGAGTGAGTCAATAATAAAAATAAGAAAAAAGGTATAAAAGAATTTTCATTGATATACAGCATAAATCATTATTTGTTGGGAGTAGGGTTGTGTTAACATATGTAGTAGCAGATTAAGACTGGGGTGATTTCTTGATTGTACAGTACTATAAAGATACAGCAGGGACCATGTTTTCAGATCTCAAGGATCAAGAACCACAACACAACATACACATTACTCTCTTTTCCCTTTTGCAGAACAGACCAAGAAAAAGAAAAAGCAGAGAAAGGAAAAGTCTCATCTTTTTCTTTAGAGAAATGGACAACAGCAATCATTCACACAACTATTCCCTAACTTTAATCATCATATATATTCCCTCTGTCCTAATCATCCCAACATATTACACATTCTATAATCATAAAAACCAATTCTCTCTCTCTCTCTCTCTCTCTCTAATCATGCCACATCAAAATGCTTCAAATTTTCTCCTACCAAAATCTTCTTTTTAATTTTAAAACACTAACGTTCTTTCAATTTCCTTCCACTTCCCGCGTCCAAGGATTCATCCCATGATCATGAAGCATCACCGTGTCTTCTTCCTGTTCTTTTTATTTTTCTTACCGTTTTTCACCTTCAGTCTCCACCACAATGATACTCATGCACTCACCCTCTTCCGCCTCCAAACCGACCTTCACGGCTACCTTCTTTCCAACTGGACCGGCGGAGACGCCTGCGCCGCTGAATGGCGCGGCGTCCTCTGCTCCCCGAACGGCCGTGTTACCGCCCTCTCCCTACCTTCCCTCAACCTCCGTGGCCCCCTCGACCCTCTCACTCCCCTCACCCACCTACGCCTCCTTGACCTCCACGACAATCGCTTGAACGGCACCGTTTCGCCGCTCCTCTCCAACTGCACCAACATCCAACTGCTCTACCTCGCCGGCAACGACTTCTCCGGCGAGATCCAGCCGGAGATATCCTCCCTCAAATCCCTTCTCCGCCTCGACCTCTCCGACAACAACATTCACGGCAAGGTTGACTTTCTCTCCAACTTAACTCAACTCATCACACTGAGACTCCAGAACAACCTTCTCTCCGGTGAAATCCCTGACCTATCTGCCTCCATGCAAAACCTCAGAGAAGTCAACCTCACAAACAACGCCTTCTACGGTCGTTTACCAAACCCCATGCTGAAGAAATTCGGTGTCACGGCCTTCTCAGGTAACGAGGGTTTATGTGGTGCAACACCGTTACCTGTGTGTTCCTTCACCACAAACCCTCCAAACGACAATGAGAATAACAACGAAAATGAACCTTCCCAGACAGTTCCTTCAAACCCTAGTTCCTTCCCAGAAACCAGCATAATAGCTCGACCGGGGAAGGAGCGCCATAAGGGTTTAAGTCCCGGTGCCATTGTGGCAATTGTTGTGGGGAATTGTGTGGCGTTGCTTGTGATGACATCATTTCTAGTGGCGCATTGTTGCGCGAGGGGAAGAGGGTCTAGTTTGGTGGGGAGTGGGGAGAGTTATGGGAAGAGGAAGAGTGGGAGCAGTTACAATGGGAGTGAGAAGAAGGTGTATGGGAGTGGGGGTGGTGAGAGTGATGGGACTACGGGCACTGATAGGAGTAGGCTTGTGTTTTTTGATCGGAGGAGTGAGTTTGAGTTGGAGGATCTGCTGCGTGCATCGGCGGAGATGCTTGGGAAGGGTAGTTTAGGGACGGTTTATAGGGCGGTGCTTGATGATGGGTGCACCGTGGCGGTGAAGAGGCTGAAGGATGCCAACCCTTGCGCCAGGCATGAGTTTGAGCAGTATATGGATGTGATTGGGAAGCTTAAGCACTCTAATGTTGTGAGACTCAAAGCCTATTACTATGCCAAAGAGGAAAAGCTTCTTGTCTATGACTATCTCTCCAATGGAAGCTTGCATGCTCTTCTTCATGGTCAGTCACTCTTCTAGCTAATCACTCTCTTCCTCTATCTTTATCCTATATCCATTTAACACGGAAAGTGATCATATTAAATTTGAGGTGAACAAACTTTTATGTACCTCTGCATTGCTCCAAAAGAAACTTATACGAGTCTGAAAGAACTAGAACTAATTTAACTGAAAATCAAATTTCACAATTTAAGGTGATTTAAATTTGTCTTGTGGTGGGTTTGTTGGATACCGATGATAGGGAACCGTGGTCCGGGGAGGATTCCATTGGACTGGACTACTAGAATAAGCCTGGTGTTGGGAGCAGCAAGAGGTCTAGCGAAGATCCACGCAGAGTACAGCGCAGCAAAAGTGCCTCACGGGAACGTGAAATCTTCGAACGTGCTTCTAGACAAAAACGGCGTCGCCTGCATCTCGGACTTCGGGCTATCACTCCTCTTGAACCCGGTTCACGCCATTGCACGACTGGGAGGGTACAGGGCCCCCGAACAGGAACAGCACAAGAGGCTGTCTCAGCAAGCTGACGTGTACAGCTTCGGGGTGTTGCTGTTGGAAGTTCTCACAGGAAGAGCTCCTTCGTCGCAGTACCCTTCACCGGCTCGTCCCAGAATGGAGGAAGAGGAACAGGCCGTGGTGGACCTTCCCAAATGGGTTCGCTCCGTCGTGAAGGAAGAGTGGACCGCAGAGGTGTTTGACCAGGAGCTTTTGCGCTACAAGAACATCGAGGAAGAGCTTGTGTCCATGTTGCATGTGGGGTTGGCCTGTGTGGTGGCGCAGCCGGAGAAGAGGCCAACTATGGAAGAAGTTGTGAAAATGGTTGAGGAGATCAGGGTGGAGCAATCGCCACTTGGGGAGGACTATGATGAATCGCGCAATTCGCTTTCACCTTCCATTCCCACCACTGAAGATGGTCTACCTTAGGAGTATGTTCAAATCTTATTGTATGGTATATACAAGATTAATTAATGTCATATGCTACTTACTTTCACTGCAGTGATTAGCTCCTCTTTCTGGTTGCATTATCTCAGTGCACGTTACCTTTTGCTTTTGCTATAACTGTTCTTTGTAAAATTTGTGAGTTCTGTGGAATTCCATTGTCGAACGTGACACAAATCTGAATTATCGATGCTCTTAATAATTATTGTCTTGTTGAATTGTATAATGTTGTACATCTGGAGTTTGCAGCGGTGGACATTGGTACACAGTTCAATGGCATTGTCTTGAAAGCGACGTGAATCCGCAACTAATAATCCCCCTTCAATGGCATTGTCATGAATTAAATCTCATGCGACCTGAAATCATGGAATCGTGTTAAGAAAACCAATGAGAATAAAATTGCGCCAGATGCTACGCACGCAACATACTATTTCGAAGGAAGCTCGTGATGAATGAACGGCGTGCCAAAAATATAGATTGCAGCTTACAAATGATGAAAGAGTATCCTTAAAAATATTAAACATATACGAATTCAAACATTTAGATTTCACGTTTCAGATTGAGATCATATATAATATTCAAGACACGAAAGCCTTGAACTATTTCTTGAAAGTCTCATTATAATTATAAAATGAAATAGCTCTCACTAAGAAAAGCTATTAGACATGCGTGAATTCAAATTTTGCAGCCCACATCCTTCTTTCAAGAGCTTCACCAAGGAATAGGTGCTCCATGAACCAAAACAAAAGTTACTTATATTTGTTCTCCTTATTCTTCATCTCTTGACACAAGGGGAAATGATTAGTACTGTTGCAATAATAAATAAGGTTGAATTACTCTGCATCTGTTTACATTAGCTACAAAGGGGGAGGACTACTGCTACTTCATTACTATGCTACAATTCACCTAGGAATAATATACAAAAACATTCTCTTCTTTTTTTTTCTTTTTACAGAAGCTTATTAAAATTACAACCACCACCTAAAATTAGTGAAAGGGATTTTGTGATTACAGTTCCAAAGTACGATTTCTACAATCTTGGCCACACAGAATCTGTCTGGATTTGATATTTTCTTCTTAAAGAATCTTAGTCATAGCAAAGATCCCACTCAACTTGATGGCTCCAGTGTGAGTAACAATAATTGAATAGGCTGAATTAACTGTTAGCTTACTGCTCCAGTTTGATCAATTAGTGTGCCAACTTGTTCTCCACATAAGGCTTTAGAGATGTTCCCAGGCTCCAGTAGATTAAAAACCACCACTGTATAAGAAAATGGCCAAAGAAATTTGTCAATTAAAATATATAATAAAATGACCACTTAACTTCAATGGATTTTTATAAACCTGAACATAAAAAGCAAAAATATTAAACACATACAATTTTGGAACCCATTGTCTGTGTGCAAGAACCAAAGGCCTAAAACCTGAAACGTGCTTATAGAAAGATCAAATGCAACAACTTACTAACCAGGAATGGCATTTTCCTTGCATAAAGTCAGCGCTGACGCATCCATAGAAGTGATTCCTCTTGAGCCCAGCTCTCTGAAGGATATGTGCTCAAAAGTGAAATTGTTATCCCGTGAGTTGCAGTCATACACACCGTCTACATTAGTACCCTTGAGGACTGCTTCAGCATTAACTGCAAGGTTGAAGGAGATATATGCTGATGCTAGCAAAATCAAAAACCGAAAAAAAAATATGCATGCGTTGCCCCTTTGCATAAACTACAGATAACATGGAAAAATAGGTAATTAGACATTTAATTTAAAAACAAAGGACAATAGCATACGCTCTGAAGCACGAAGAGCTGCAGCTATGTCAGTTGAGAAAAGTGGATTGCCAGCACCAAAACTAATGCCACCAAATATAATAACTCTTCCTTTCTCAAGATGTCTGATAGCCCGCTGCCTATTGTATAGTTCAGCAAACTCCTGCATGGCAATTGAAGTTTGTACACGAGTCTGAACACCCATCTTCTCTAGAGTCGATTGGAGCAATATTGAATTCATCACTGTTGCCATCATGCTGGCAAATTGAAGTTCAAGAAAACCGCACTTATTCAGATCAATATTTTTAAAATAGTAGAAACAAAAGTAAATCACTTCTAAAGCTAATGTATTAACCAGAAAGATTAAAAATGTCACATGGCAGCATATGTACCTAAAAGCAACAAAGTGATAAGCACAACCCATGTGCAAGGCATCAAGAAGATACTTGCCAGAGCGTAATAGAATGTCTCAAAGTTAAAGCATCATAAGACATGTTTTTCAATAAAAAGAAACAGAGAAATCAAAGATAAGAAAAACATAACTTGGCAGCTTAAACTGTTACAATATAAATTCATTCATCGCAGATCAAAATTTCACCATATTTGAATATGGGACTAAATGAAAGGTCGGAAGAGTAACTCTACGGGGCAAAATGGGATTATACAGTCGACAGATACAGTTAAAAATGATAAGTATCATCACAGAAGAAACTGGACAAAAAATTCCTCATGGTGAGCCTAACCTAGCCCCATTCAGATATTCAAATATCAGATCTCCAATTTAGATTTCTAAAATGACAAAATCTTTGTCCTCTAACCTTTGTAGCCTTGTGACCTGGGTAAGGGATGTGCTCTACATTGATACAAACAATACCCCATACTAGTTAGTCAAAGTTCAGTTCACAGATGTGGCCTTCTCCTCCAGCACTACCACCAAGGTACTTTCCATTCAACTTCACAAACATATCTTCTTCAGTTAGGGTCGTCTATTTTTTATCAGGATATGGATGGTTGCACAGATACTAAATCTATTCAATTTATTTTCTTTGGTATTGAACTCTAGTAAAATTACAATGGTGCAGAGAGAACTTGCTTTAAAATTTGGTGATTAACCTTACCCAACTTGGTATGCAGTGCATCTTTCTAGACCTGTCGCATTTACCCATGCATCTCCAGAGAAGAAATTACAGCCTCCAACAACAATCGCCACCTGAAATATCAAAAGCTGCTTCAGCTAAACAGAAAGGGTAGCAGAATAAGAGACTCCAGAAAACAATCAAGAGAACTGATACCTCAACACCAAGGCGGGAAGCTATGGCAACTTCTCTTGAAACTAACATAGCCACCTGATAATTAGTTTAAATTTGAACAAAATAATGCATAAGTATTGTCACAAGATCTAGAAACAATTAGTACACAGTAAAGAACTTAGGTCATGAGTCAAATAATATTACAAAACTTCCCACATATTGTAACCAAACCACCTTAGGGTCCATGTTGCAGGTATCAGATCCAGTAAGAGCTGCTCCACTAATTTTGAAGACTACCCTCCGCCATCTAAGGTTTGTCAGTGCTTTTGACCTAATGTTATTCACTTGACCTGTGCTGGGTGTTGCTACTCCATATCTATGCATAAAGCAGGGGAAAGTTCAACAGTCACTAGTCATTATAAAAAAAAAAAGTAAAAGAAAAGGGTAAAACAATTCATTTTGAATGAGATTCAACATAAAAAAGCCCCATCGTAGTAACACCACCTGCATTATAATTTGGAAACGTCATCCCCGTATGATTTGTGATTCAGAAGTGTGTGAGTGAAGATAGCATTAGCTTATTCAAATGTTTGCATCAGTCAAACCATAGACTCATATTAATTCCAAAATCATATTCTGAAGCCCAAACTAATGCTAAAATAACATAACAAAAAATCAATAAATGCGAAGATTCTATGAACTGTAATATGTGCACTCCTGTACTAAAAGATAAAATAGTTATTCATTATTCCAAGTTGTAACCGTCGGTATAAATCAAGCACAACACAAGGATATGGAAGGTACATATCAGAAACAAAAATGGACAAATCCTCAGAGGACATAAAGCACAGTGAAACATAGCATAACAACAATACAATACTTGAGTTACCATCGGAAACTACATCGAGACAATACACAATACAGGTAACTAAAGTAACGCCATGACCATTCTAAGTTTCCATGTGATTTCTAAACTAAAAGCGTGTCAGTGAATACAGCATGACACTTGTTAAAATGCAGCAATACCTCCATATTAAACAAGTGTTCTGGTTCTATTCAAACAACACACCCCTATTTATTACAAGAACCAATTCTAAAGTCTAGTCCACGAAAAACATGAAAAAACCTACATGATGTAAAAGCAAACATTCTACATTCTACTAACTATAACATCTGAATAGTTGTACCGCAAAGTAATATCATAAAGCTATACAATGTTCCAATCTTCAAGCATCTCGATTAAACTAAGTATTTATGATGCAGCCAACAAACAGATTCGGGCACTAGAGTACCAAACCAAATCAGAAAACCAAAAAAAAAAAACAAATCCTATGGTGAATATAATAATGCAATAACTATCAATATGAACTACTAATACTCGTTAGCAAAAGCAGTGACAAAAAAATTAAATACTTCGGCGCTGAATGCTGAATAGAATACCTTTTCGATTGTCTGGGCGAAGTTCCGGCAGAAACAACCGCTTTATCCTCATCAGAGAATTTTGCCGGAAGAGAATTCCCGACGATCTGCTCCAATTGTTTGAACCAAGGCCAGTGACTGGTAGAAATGCAGCCACTGCTCATTCTTTGTCGCTCCAATTTGTACCTCTTTTTTAGGTTATCTACCTTGTTCTTACACTGTTCCACGCTCTTCGATTGGTTCTCGCACCGTTCGCTCACCACAAACGCAACCTCCTCCCAATCCCTTCCTCTCAGGTTTCCCCGATTCAGTTGTGTGAACTTCTCCGTGTAAGCCTCGAGGAGGCACACGATGGCCGTGTCGCTCCACTCCTCCCTGTCCTTTCTGTACTCCGCACTGCCTGCACTCGACTGCGGAGCCTTAGATCTCTTGTTGAATCCGTACGACGTGGCTCCCTCGCCGATCTCCTCCCGGTCCTTCCGCTTTTCGCTGCCACCGTCGTCGTCGAAGGGGTTTCCATAGTCGTCGGCGTCGTCAGCAACGGATTTGGGTGGGACAGGAGCGACGGCGACGGCGGAGGGGGAGAAGTGGTGGTGCGGGGCGTAAGGCTGGTGGAGGTGGTGGTTATCGTCACGGAGGAGAGAGAAGTCGTCGTCGTCGTCGCAAGAGGCCATAACGGTGAGGGAGGACGTTACGGCGTCGTCGGGGACGTTAGGGAAAGAGAATGGAGAGTTGAGAGAAGGTGTGTGTGGGAGGGTTTGACGGAGCGTACCTTCCGTGA